GAGTAGGTGTCGTTGATGCAGCAGGTATTGTTATAACAGCGGGTGTCGTTTCTGCAGTCGTTACTGGAGCAGGTGTCGTTGACAGAGTTGCTGTTATTGCAGATGTTGTCATAGCAGGTGTTGTACTTGATATAGTTGTTGCAGCAGATGTTGTTGTCGAATCAGGTGCTGTACTTGATGCAATTGTTTCAGTAGTTGTTATCAGAGCAGGTGTTGTTGTTGATGCAGTTGTTGCTACACTTGTCAGTGTAGGTGTCGTTGACGTAGCAGGTATTGTTGTAACAGCGGGTGTCGTTTCTGCAGTCGTTACTGGAGCAGGTGTCGTTGACACAGTTGCTGTTGCTGCAGATGTTGTCATAGCAGGTGTTGTACTTGATATAGTTGTTGCAGCAGATGTTGTTGTCGAACCAGTTGCTGGACTTGATGCAATTGTTTCAGCAGTTGTTATCAGAGCAGGTGTTGTTGTTGATGCAGTTGTTGCTGCAGTTGTCAGTGTAGGTGTCGTTGACGCAGCAAGTGTTGTTGTCACAGCGGGTGTTGTTGTTGCAGATGTTGTCAGAGCAGGTGTTGTTGTTGATGCAGTTATTGCTACACTTGTCAGTGTAGGTGTCGCTGACGCAGCAGGTATTGTTGTAACAGCGGGTGTCGTTTCTGCAGTCGTTACTGCACCAGGTGTCGTTGACACAGTTGCTGTTGCTGCAGATGTTGTCAAAGCAGGTGTTGTACTTGATATAGTTGTTGCAGCAGATGTTGTTGTCGAAGCAGTTGCTGTACTTGATGCAATTGTTTCAGCAGTTGTTATCAGAGCAGGTGTTGTTGTTGATGCAGTTGTTGCTGCAGTTGTCAGTGTAGGTGTCGTTGACGCAGGAAGTGTTGTTGTCACAGCGGGTGTTGTTGTTGCTGCAGATGTTGTCAGAGCAGGTGTTGTTGTTGATGCAGTTATTGCTACACTTGTCAGTGTAGGTGTCGTTGACACAGCAGGTATTGTAACAGCGGGTGTCGTTTCTGCAGTCGTTACTGGAGAAGGTGTCGTTGACACAGTTGTTGTTGCTGCAGTTGTGGTCTGAGCAGGTGTTGGTGATGCAGTTGTTGTCAAAGAAGCTGTTGTTAAGGCATTGGTTGTTGCTGCTGTTGCAGCAGATGTTGTTGTCGGAGCAGTTGCTGTATTTGATTCAGTTATTACAGCGGATGTTGTTTTCGAAGCAGTTGCTGGACTTGATGCAATTGTTTCAGCAGTTGTTATCAGAGCAGGTGTTGTTGTTGATGCAGTTATTGCTACACTTGTCAGTGTAGGTGTCGTTGACGCAGCAGGTATTGTTGTAACAGCGGGTGTCGTTTCTGCAGTCGTTACTGGAGCAGGTGTCGTTGACGCACTTGCTGTTGCTGCAGATGGTGTCAGGGGAGGTTTTGTTGTTGATGCAGTTATTGCTGCGGCTGTCAGAGTAGGTGTCGTTGATGCAGCAGGTATGTTATAACAGCGGGTGTCGTTTCTGCAGTCGTTACTGGAGCAGGTGTCGTTGACAGAGTTGCTGTTACTGCAGATGTTGTCATAGCAGGTGTTGTACTTGATATAGTTGTTGCAGCAGATGTTGTTGTCGAATCAGGTGCTGTACTTGATGCAATTGTTTCAGCAGTTGTTATCAGAGCAGGTGTTGTTGTTGATGCAGTTGTTGCTACACTTGTCAGTGTAGGTGTCGTTGACGTAGCAGGTATTGTTGTAACAGCGGGTGTCGTTTCTGCAGTCGTTACTGGAGCAGGTGTCGTTGACACAGTTGCTGTTGCTGCAGATGTTGTCATAGCAGGTGTTGTACTTGATATAGTTTTTGCAGCAGATGTTGTTGTCGAACCAGTTGCTGGACTTGATGCAATTGTTTCAGCAGTTGTTATCAGAGCAGGTGTTGTTGTTGATGCAGTTATTGCTACACTTGTCAGTGTAGGTGTCGTTGACGCAGCAGGTATTGTTGTAACAGCGGGTGTCGTTTCTGCAGTCGTTACTGGAGCAGGTGTCGTTGACGCACTTGCTGTTGCTGCAGATGGTGTCAGGGGAGGTTTTGTTGTTGATGCAGTTATTGCTGCGGCTGTCAGAGTAGGTGTCGTTGATGCAGCAGGTATTGTTATAACAGCGGGTGTCGTTTCTGCAGTCGTTACTGGAGCAGGTGTCGTTGACAGAGTTGCTGTTACTGCAGATGTTGTCATAGCAGGTGTTGTACTTGATATAGTTGTTGCAGCAGATGTTGTTGTCGAATCAGGTGCTGTACTTGATGCAATTGTTTCAGCAGTTGTTATCAGAGCAGGTGTTGTTGTTGATGCAGTTGTTGCTACACTTGTCAGTGTAGGTGTCGTTGACGTAGCAGGTATTGTTGTAACAGCGGGTGTCGTTTCTGCAGTCGTTACTGGAGCAGGTGTCGTTGACACAGTTGCTGTTGCTGCAGATGTTGTCATAGCAGGTGTTGTACTTGATATAGTTTTTGCAGCAGATGTTGTTGTCGAACCAGTTGCTGGACTTGATGCAATTGTTTCAGCAGTTGTTATCAGAGCAGGTGTTGTTGTTGATGCAGTTGTTGCTGCAGTTGTCAGTGTAGGTGTCGTTGACGCAGCAAGTGTTGTTGTCACAGCGGGTGTTGTTGTTGCTGCAGATGTTGTCAGAGCAGGTGTTGTTGTTGATGCAGTTATTGCTACACTTGTCAGTGTAGGTGTCGTTGACGCAGCAGGTATTGTTGTAACAGCGGGTGTCGTTTCTGCAGTCGTTACTGCAGCAGGTGTCGTTGACACAGTTGCTGTTGCTGCAGATGTTTTCATAGCAGGTGTTGTACTTGATATAGTTGTTGCAGCAGATGTTGTTGTCGAAGCAGTTGCTGGACTTGATGCAATTGTTTCAGCAGTTGTTATCAGAGCAGGTGTTGTTGTTGATGCAGTTATTGCTACACTTGTCAGTGTAGGTGTCGTTGACGCAGCAGGTATTGTTGTAACAGCGGGTGTCGTTTCTGCAGTCGTTACTGTAGCAGGTGTCGTTGACACAGTTGCTGTTGCTGCAGATGTTGGCATAGCAGGTGTTGTACTTGATATAGTTTTTGCAGCAGATGTTGTTGTCGAACCAGTTGCTGGACTTGATGCAATTGTTTCAGCAGTTGTTATCAGAGCAGGTGTTGTTGTTGATGCAGTTGTTGCTGCAGTTGTCAGTGTAGGTATCGTTGACGCAGCAAGTGTTGTTGTAACAGCGGGTGTTGTTGTTGCTGCAGATGTTGTCAGAGCAGGTGTTGTTGTTGATGCAGTTATTGCTACACTTGTCAGTGTAGGTGTCGCTGACGCAGCAGGTATTGTTGTAACAGCGGGTGTCGTTTCTGCAGTCGTTACTGCACCAGGTGTCGTTGACACAGTTGCTGTTGCTGCAGATGTTGTCAAAGCAGGTGTTGTACTTGATATAGTTTTTGCAGCAGATGTTGTTGTCGAAGCGGTTGCTGTACTTGATGCAATTGTTTCAGCAGTTGTTATCAGAGCAGGTGTTGTTGTTGATGCAGTTGTTGCTGCAGTTGTCAGTGTAGGTGTCGTTGACGCAGGAAGTGTTGTAACAGCGGGTGTCGTTTCTGCAGTCGTTACTGGAGCAGGTGTCGTTGACACAGTTGCTGTTGCTGCAGATGTTGTCATAGCAGGTGTTGTACTTGATATAGTTTTTGCAGCAGATGTTGTTGTCGAACCAGTTGCTGGACTTGATGCAATTGTTTCAGCAGTTGTTATCAGAGCAGGTGTTGTTGTTGATGCAGTTGTTGCTGCAGTTGTCAGTGTAGGTGTCGTTGACGCAGCAAGTGTTGTTGTCACAGCGGGTGTTGTTGTTGCTGCAGATGTTGTCAGAGCAGGTGTTGTTGTTGATGCAGTTATTGCTACACTTGTCAGTGTAGGTGTCGTTGACGCAGCAGGTATTGTTGTAACAGCGGGTGTCGTTTCTGCAGTCGTTACTGCAGCAGGTGTCGTTGACACAGTTGCTGTTGCTGCAGATGTTTTCATAGCAGGTGTTGTACTTGATATAGTTGTTGCAGCAGATGTTGTTGTCGAAGCAGTTGCTGGACTTGATGCAATTGTTTCAGCAGTTGTTATCAGAGCAGGTGTTGTTGTTGATGCAGTTATTGCTACACTTGTCAGTGTAGGTGTCGTTGACGCAGCAGGTATTGTTGTAACAGCGGGTGTCGTTTCTGCAGTCGTTACTGTAGCAGGTGTCGTTGACACAGTTGCTGTTGCTGCAGATGTTGGCATAGCAGGTGTTGTACTTGATATAGTTTTTGCAGCAGATGTTGTTGTCGAACCAGTTGCTGGACTTGATGCAATTGTTTCAGCAGTTGTTATCAGAGCAGGTGTTGTTGTTGATGCAGTTGTTGCTGCAGTTGTCAGTGTAGGTATCGTTGACGCAGCAAGTGTTGTTGTAACAGCGGGTGTTGTTGTTGCTGCAGATGTTGTCAGAGCAGGTGTTGTTGTTGATGCAGTTATTGCTACACTTGTCAGTGTAGGTGTCGCTGACGCAGCAGGTATTGTTGTAACAGCGGGTGTCGTTTCTGCAGTCGTTACTGCACCAGGTGTCGTTGACACAGTTGCTGTTGCTGCAGATGTTGTCAAAGCAGGTGTTGTACTTGATATAGTTTTTGCAGCAGATGTTGTTGTCGAAGCGGTTGCTGTACTTGATGCAATTGTTTCAGCAGTTGTTATCAGAGCAGGTGTTGTTGTTGATGCAGTTGTTGCTGCAGTTGTCAGTGTAGGTGTCGTTGACGCAGGAAGTGTTGTTGTCACAGCGGGTGTTGTTGTTGCTGCAGATGTTGTCAGAGCAGGTGTTGTTGTTGATGCAGTTATTGCTACACTTGTCAGTGTAGGTGTCGTTGACACAGTAGGTATTGTAACAGCGGGTGTCGTTTCTGCAGTCGTTACTGGAGCAGGTGTCGTTGACACAGTTGTTGTTGCTGCAGTTGTGGTCTGAGCAGGTGTTGGTGATGCAGTTGTTGTCAAAGAAGCTGTTGTTAAGGCACTGGTTGTTGCTGCTGTTGCAGCAGATGTTGTTGTCGGAGCAGTTGCTGTATTTGATTCAGTTGTTACAGCAGATGTTGATGTCGGACCAGTTGTTGTAGTTGATGTAATTGTTGCTGCAGATGTTGTCAAAGCAGGTGTTGTACTTGATATAGTTTTTGCAGCAGATGTTGTTGTCGAAGCGGTTGCTGTACTTGATGCAATTGTTTCAGCAGTTGTTATCAGAGCAGGTGTTGTTGTTGATGCAGTTGTTGCTGCAGTTGTCAGTGTAGGTGTCGTTGACGCAGGAAGTGTTGTAACAGCGGGTGTCGTTTCTGCAGTCGTTACTGGAGCAGGTGTCGTTGACACAGTTGCTGTTGCTGCAGATGTTGTCATAGCAGGTGTTGTACTTGATATAGTTTTTGCAGCAGATGTTGTTGTCGAACCAGTTGCTGGACTTGATGCAATTGTTTCAGCAGTTGTTATCAGAGCAGGTGTTGTTGTTGATGCAGTTGTTGCTGCAGTTGTCAGTGTAGGTGTCGTTGACGCAGCAAGTGTTGTTGTCACAGCGGGTGTTGTTGTTGCTGCAGATGTTGTCAGAGCAGGTGTTGTTGTTGATGCAGTTATTGCTACACTTGTCAGTGTAGGTGTCGTTGACGCAGCAGGTATTGTTGTAACAGCGGGTGTCGTTTCTGCAGTCGTTACTGCAGCAGGTGTCGTTGACACAGTTGCTGTTGCTGCAGATGTTTTCATAGCAGGTGTTGTACTTGATATAGTTGTTGCAGCAGATGTTGTTGTCGAAGCAGTTGCTGGACTTGATGCAATTGTTTCAGCAGTTGTTATCAGAGCAGGTGTTGTTGTTGATGCAGTTATTGCTACACTTGTCAGTGTAGGTGTCGTTGACGCAGCAGGTATTGTTGTAACAGCGGGTGTCGTTTCTGCAGTCGTTACTGTAGCAGGTGTCGTTGACACAGTTGCTGTTGCTGCAGATGTTGGCATAGCAGGTGTTGTACTTGATATAGTTTTTGCAGCAGATGTTGTTGTCGAACCAGTTGCTGGACTTGATGCAATTGTTTCAGCAGTTGTTATCAGAGCAGGTGTTGTTGTTGATGCAGTTGTTGCTGCAGTTGTCAGTGTAGGTATCGTTGACGCAGCAAGTGTTGTTGTAACAGCGGGTGTTGTTGTTGCTGCAGATGTTGTCAGAGCAGGTGTTGTTGTTGATGCAGTTATTGCTACACTTGTCAGTGTAGGTGTCGCTGACGCAGCAGGTATTGTTGTAACAGCGGGTGTCGTTTCTGCAGTCGTTACTGCACCAGGTGTCGTTGACACAGTTGCTGTTGCTGCAGATGTTGTCAAAGCAGGTGTTGTACTTGATATAGTTTTTGCAGCAGATGTTGTTGTCGAAGCGGTTGCTGTACTTGATGCAATTGTTTCAGCAGTTGTTATCAGAGCAGGTGTTGTTGTTGATGCAGTTGTTGCTGCAGTTGTCAGTGTAGGTGTCGTTGACGCAGGAAGTGTTGTTGTCACAGCGGGTGTTGTTGTTGCTGCAGATGTTGTCAGAGCAGGTGTTGTTGTTGATGCAGTTATTGCTACACTTGTCAGTGTAGGTGTCGTTGACACAGTAGGTATTGTAACAGCGGGTGTCGTTTCTGCAGTCGTTACTGGAGCAGGTGTCGTTGACACAGTTGTTGTTGCTGCAGTTGTGGTCTGAGCAGGTGTTGGTGATGCAGTTGTTGTCAAAGAAGCTGTTGTTAAGGCACTGGTTGTTGCTGCTGTTGCAGCAGATGTTGTTGTCGGAGCAGTTGCTGTATTTGATTCAGTTGTTACAGCAGATGTTGATGTCGGACCAGTTGTTGTAGTTGATGTAATTGTTGCAGCAGTTGTTGTCAGAGCAGGTGTTGTTGATGCAGTTATTGCTGTACTTGTCAGTGTAGGTGTCGTTGACGCAGCAGGTATTGTTGTAACAGTGGGTGTCATTTCTGCAGTCGTTACTGGAGCAGGTGTCGTTGACGCACTTGCTGTTGCTGCAGATGTTGTCAGAGGAGGTTTTGTTGTTGATGCAGTTATTGCTGCGGTTGTCAGAGTAGGTGTCGTTGATGCAGCAGGTATTGTTGTAACAGCGGGTGTCGTTTCTGCAGTCGTTACTGCAGCAGGTGTCGTTGACACAGTTGCTGTTGATGCAGATGTTGTCATAGCAGGTGTTGTACTTGATATAGTTGTTGCAGCAGATGTTGTTGTCGAAGCAGTTGCTGTACTTGATGCAATTGTTTCAGCAGTTGTTATCAGAGCAGGTGTTGTTGTTGATGCAGTTGATGTTAGTGCAGGTGTTGTTGCAGCAGATGTTGTCAGTGTAGGTGTCGTTGACGCAGCAGGTATTGTTGTAACAGCGGGTGTCGTTTCTGCAGTCGTTACTGGAGCAGGTGTTGTTGACGCAGTTGCTGTTGCTGCAGATGTTGTCACAGCAGGTGCTGTTGTCATAGCACGTGTTGTCTGACCAGGTGTTGTGGCCACAGCAAGTGTTGTTGTTTCTGCAGTCATTACTGGAGCAGGTGTCGTTGACGTAGTTGTTGTTACTGCAGATGTTGTCACAGAAGGTGCTGTTGTCATAGCAGGTGTTGTCTGACCAGGTCTTGTGGCTAGAGCAAGTGTTGTTGTCACTGCGGGTGTTGTTGTTGCTGTAGATGTTGTCAGAGCAGGTGTTGTTGTTGATGCAGTTGTTGCTACACTTGTCAGTGTAGGTGTCGTTGACGCAGCAGGTATTGTTGTAACAGCGGGTGTCGTTTCTGCAGTCGTTACTGGAGCAGGTGTCGTTGACACAGTTGCTGTTGCTGCAGATGTTGTCATAGCAGGTGTTGTACTTGATATAGTTTTTGCAGCAGATGTTGTTGTCGAACCAGTTGCTGGACTTGATGCAATTGTTTCAGCAGTTGTTATCAGAGCAGGTGTTGTTGTTGATGCAGTTGTTGCTGCAGTTGTCAGTGTAGGTGTCGTTGACGCAGCAAGTGTTGTTGTCACAGCGGCTGTTGTTGTTGCTGCAGATGTTGTCAGAGCAGGTGTTGTTGTTGATGCAGTTATTGCTACACTTGTCAGTGTAGGTGTCGTTGACGCAGCAGGTATTGTTGTAACAGCGGGTGTCGTTTCTGCAGTCGTTACTGCAGCAGGTGTCGTTGACACAGTTGCTGTTGCTGCAGATGTTTTCATAGCAGGTGTTGTACTTGATATAGTTGTTGCAGCAGATGTTGTTGTCGAAGCAGTTGCTGGACTTGATGCAATTGTTTCAGCAGTTGTTATCAGAGCAGGTGTTGTTGTTGATGCAGTTATTGCTACACTTGTCAGTGTAGGTGTCGTTGACGCAGCAGGTATTGTTGTAACAGCGGGTGTCGTTTCTGCAGTCGTTACTGCAGCAGGTGTCGTTGACACAGTTGCTGTTGCTGCAGATGTTGGCATAGCAGGTGTTGTACTTGATATAGTTTTTGCAGCAGATGTTGTTGTCGAACCAGTTGCTGGACTTGATGCAATTGTTTCAGCAGTTGGTATCAGAGCAGGTGTTGTTGTTGATGCAGTTGTTGCTGCAGTTGTCAGTGTAGGTGTCGTTGACGCAGGAAGTGTTGTTGTCACAGCGGGTGTGTGTGTTGCTGCAGATGTTGTCAGAGCAGGTGTTGTTGTTGATGCAGTTATTGCTACACTTGTCAGTGTAGGTGTCGTTGACACAGTAGGTATTGTTGTAACAGCGGGTGTTGTTGTTGCTGCAGATGTTGTCAGAGCAGGTGTTGTTGTTGATGCAGTTATTGCTACACTTGTCAGTGTAGGTGTCGCTGACGCAGCAGGTATTGTTGTAACAGCGGGTGTCGTTTCTGCAGTCGTTACTGCACCAGGTGTCGTTGACACAGTTGCTGTTGCTGCAGATGTTGTCAAAGCAGGTGTTGTACTTGATATAGTTGTTGCAGCAGATGTTGTTGTCGAAGCAGTTGCTGTACTTGATGCAATTGTTTCAGCAGTTGTTATCAGAGCAGGTGTTGTTGTTGATGCAGTTGTTGCTGCAGTTGTCAGTGTAGGTGTCGTTGACGCAGGAAGTGTTGTTGTCACAGCGGGTGTTGTTGTTGCTGCAAATGTTGTCAGAGCAGGTGTTGTTGTTGATGCAGTTATTGCTACACTTGTCAGTGTAGGTGTCGTTGACACAGCAGGTATTGTAACAGCGGGTGTCGTTTCTGCAGTCGTTACTGGAGCAGGTGTCGTTGACACAGTTGTTGTTGCTGCAGTTGTGGTCTGAGCAGGTGTTGGTGATGCAGTTGTTGTCAAAGAAGCTGTTGTTAAGGCACTGGTTGTTGCTGCTGTTGCAGCAGATGTTGTTGTCGGAGCAGTTGCTGTATTTGATTCAGTTGTTACAGCAGATGTTGATGTCGGACCAGTTGTTGTAGTTGATGTAATTGTTGCAGCAGTTGTTGTCAGAGCAGGTGTTGTTGATGCAGTTATTGCTGTACTTGTCAGTGTAGGTGTCGTTGACGCAGCAGGTATTGTTGTAACAGTGGGTGTCATTTCTGCAGTCGTTACTGGAGCAGGTGTCGTTGACGCACTTGCTGTTGCTGCAGATGTTGTCAGAGGAGGTTTTGTTGTTGATGCAGTTATTGCTGCGGTTGTCAGAGTAGGTGTCGTTGATGCAGCAGGTATTGTTGTAACAGCGGGTGTCGTTTCTGCAGTCGTTACTGCAGCAGGTGTCGTTGACACAGTTGCTGTTGATGCAGATGTTGTCATAGCAGGTGTTGTACTTGATATAGTTGTTGCAGCAGATGTTGTTGTCGAAGCAGTTGCTGTACTTGATGCAATTGTTTCAGCAGTTGTTATCAGAGCAGGTGTTTGTTGATGCAGTTGATGTTAGTGCAGGTGTTGTTGCAGCAGATGTTGTCAGTGTAGGTGTCGTTGACGCAGCAGGTATTGTTGTAACAGCGGGTGTCGTTTCTGCAGTCGTTACTGGAGCAGGTGTTGTTGACGCAGTTGCTGTTGCTGCAGATGTTGTCACAGCAGGTGCTGTTGTCATAGCACGTGTTGTCTGACCAGGTGTTGTGGCCACAGCAAGTGTTGTTGTTTCTGCAGTCATTACTGGAGCAGGTGTCGTTGACGTAGTTGTTGTTACTGCAGATGTTGTCACAGAAGGTGCTGTTGTCATAGCAGGTGTTGTCTGACCAGGTCTTGTAGCTAGAGCAAGTGTTGTTGTCACTGCGGGTGTTGTTGTTGCTGTAGATGTTGTCAGAGCAGGTGTTGTTGTTGATGCAGTTGTTGCTACACTTGTCAGTGTAGATGTCGTTGACGCAGCAGGTATTGTTGTAATAGCGGGTGTCGTTTCTGCAGTCGTTACTGGAGCAGGTGTCGTTGACACAGTTGCTGTTGCTGCAGATGTTGTCATAGCAGGTGTTGTACTTGATATAGTTTTTGCAGCAGATGTTGTTGTCGAACCAGTTGCTGGACTTGATGCAATTGTTTCAGCAGTTGTTATCAGAGCAGGTGTTGTTGTTGATGCAGTTGTTGCTGCAGTTGTCAGTGTAGGTGTCGTTGACGCAGCAAGTGTTGTTGTCACAGCGGTGTTGTTGTTGCTGCAGATGTTGTCAGAGCAGGTGTTGTTGTTGATGCAGTTATTGCTACACTTGTCAGTGTAGGTGTCGTTGACGCAGCAGGTATTGTTTGTAACAGCGGGTGTCGTTTCTGCAGTCGTTACTGCACCAGGTGTCGTTGACACAGTTGCTGTTGCTGCAGATGTTTTCATAGCAGGTGTTGTACTTGATATAGTTGTTGCAGCAGATGTTGTTGTCGAAGCAGTTGCTGGACTTGATGCAATTGTTTCAGCAGTTGTTATCAGAGCAGGTGTTGTTGTTGATGCAGTTATTGCTACACTTGTCAGTGTAGGTGTCGTTGACGCAGCAGGTATTGTTGTAACAGCGGGTGTCGTTTCTGCAGTCGTTACTGTAGCAGGTGTCGTTGACACAGTTGCTGTTGCTGCAGATGTTGGCATAGCAGGTGTTGTACTTGATATAGTTTTTGCAGCAGATGTTGTTGTCGAACCAGTTGCTGGACTTGATGCAATTGTTTCAGCAGTTGGTATCAGAGCAGGTGTTGTTGTTGATGCAGTTGTTGCTGCAGTTGTCAGTGTAGGTGTCGTTGACGCAGGAAGTGTTGTTGTCACAGCGGGTGTTGTTGTTGCTGCAGATGTTGTCAGAGCAGGTGTTGTTGTTGATGCAGTTATTGCTACACTTGTCAGTGTAGGTGTCGTTGACACAGTAGGTATTGTTGTAACAGCGGGTGTTGTTGTTGCTGCAGATGTTGTCAGAGCAGGTGTTGTTGTTGATGCAGTTATTGCTACACTTGTCAGTGTAGGTGTCGCTGACGCAGCAGGTATTGTTGTAACAGCGGGTGTCGTTTCTGCAGTCGTTACTGCACCAGGTGTCGTTGACACAGTTGCTGTTGCTGCAGATGTTGTCAAAGCAGGTGTTGTACTTGATATAGTTGTTGCAGCAGATGTTGTTGTCGAAGCAGTTGCTGTACTTGATGCAATTGTTTCAGCAGTTGTTATCAGAGCAGGTGTTGTTGTTGATGCAGTTGTTGCTGCAGTTGTCAGTGTAGGTGTCGTTGACGCAGGAAGTGTTGTTGTCACAGCGGGTGTTGTTGTTGCTGCAAATGTTGTCAGAGCAGGTGTTGTTGTTGATGCAGTTATTGCTACACTTGTCAGTGTAGGTGTCGTTGACACAGCAGGTATTGTAACAGCGGGTGTCGTTTCTGCAGTCGTTACTGGAGCAGGTGTCGTTGACACAGTTGTTGTTGCTGCAGTTGTGGTCTGAGCAGGTGTTGGTGATGCAGTTGTTGTCAAAGAAGCTGTTGTTAAGGCACTGGTTGTTGCTGCTGTTGCAGCAGATGTTGTTGTCGGAGCAGTTGCTGTATTTGATTCAGTTGTTACAGCAGATGTTGATGTCGGACCAGTTGTTGTAGTTGATGTAATTGTTGCAGCAGTTGTTGTCAGAGCAGGTGTTGTTGATGCAGTTATTGCTGTACTTGTCAGTGTAGGTGTCGTTGACGCAGCAGGTATTGTTGTAACAGTGGGTGTCATTTCTGCAGTCGTTACTGGAGCAGGTGTCGTTGACGCACTTGCTGTTGCTGCAGATGTTGTCAGAGGAGGTTTTGTTGTTGATGCAGTTATTGCTGCGGTTGTCAGAGTAGGTGTCGTTGATGCAGCAGGTATTGTTGTAACAGCGGGTGTCGTTTCTGCAGTCGTTACTGCATCAGGTGTCGTTGACACAGTTGCTGCAGATGTTGTCATAGCAGGTGTACTTGATATAGTTGTTGCAGCAGATGTTGTTGTCGAACCAGTTGCTCGACTTGATGCAATTGTTTCAGCAGTTGTTATCAGAGCAGGTGTTGTTGTTGATGCAGTTGTTGCTGCAGTTGTCAGTGTAGGTGTCGTTGACGCAGCAAGTGTTGTTGTCACAGTGGGTGTTGTTGTTGCTGCAGATTTTGTCAGAGCAGGTGTTGTTGTTGATGCAGTTATTGCTACACTTGTCAGTGTAGGTGTCATTGACGCAGCAGGTATTGTTATAACAGCGGGTGTCGTTTCTGCAGTCGCTACTGCAGCAGGTGTCGTTGACACAGTTGCTGTTGCTGCAGATGTTGTCATAGCAGGAGTTGTACTTGATATAATTGTTGCAGCAGATGTTGTTGTCGAACCAGTTGCTGGATTTGATGCAATTGTTTCAGCAGTTGTTATCAGAGCAGGTGTTATTGTTGATGCAGTTGTTGCTGCAGTTGTTAGAGTGGGTGTCGTTGATGCAGCAGGTGTTGTAAAAGTGGGTGTCGTTACTTCAGTCGTTACTGGAGCAGGTGTTGTTGACGGAGTTGCTGTTACTGCAGATGCAGCAGATATTGTTGTCTGAGCACTTGTTTTTGCTGCAGTTGTGGTCTGAGCAGGTGTTGGTGATGCAGTTGTTGTCAAAGAAGCTGTTGTTAAGGCATTGTTTGTTGCTGCTGTTGCAGCAGATGTTGTTGTCGGAGCAGTTGCTGTATTTGATTCAGTTGTTACAGCAGATGTTGTTGTCGGACCAGTTGTTGTAGTTGATGAAATTGTGGCAGCAGTTGTCAGAGCAGGTGTTGTTGATGCAGTTATTGCTGCATTTGTCAGTGTAGGTGTCGTTGACGCAGCATGTATTGTTGTAAAAGTGGGTGTTATTTCTGCAGTCGTTACTGGAGCAGGTGTCGTTGACGCACTTGCTGTTGCTGCAGATGTTGTCAGAGGAGGTTTTGTTGTTGATGCAGTTATTGCTGCGGCTGTCAGAGTAGGTGTCGTTGATGCAGCAGGTATTGTTATAACAGCGGGTGTCGTTTCTGCAGTCGTTACTGGAGCAGGTGTCGTTGACACAGTTGCTGTTGCTGCAGATGTTGTCATAGCAGGTGTTGTACTTGATATAGTTGTTGCAGCAGATGTTGTTGTCGAACCAGTTGCTGTACTTGATGCAATTGTTTCAGCAGTTGTTATCAGAGCAGGTGTTGTTGTTGATGCAGTTATTGCTACACTTGTCAGTGTAGGTGTCGTTGACGCAGCAGGTATTGTAGTAACAACGGGTGTCGTTTCTGCAGTCGTTACTGGAGCAGGTGTCGTTGACACAGTTGCTGTTGCTGCAGATGTTGTCATAGCAGGTGTTGTACTTGATATAGTTGTTGCAGCAGATGTTGTTGTCGAAGCAGTTGCTGTACTTGATGCAATTGTTTCAGCAGTTGTTATCAGAGCAGGTGTTGTTGTTGATGCACTTATTGCTACACTTGTCAGTGTAGGTGTCGTTGACGCAGCAGGTATTGTTGTAACCGCGGGTGTCGTTTCTGCAGTCGTTACTGCATCAGGTGTCGTTGACACAGTTGCTGCAGATGTTGTCATAGCAGGTGTACTTGATATAGTTGTTGCAGCAGATGTTGTTGTCGAACCAGTTGCTCGACTTGATGCAATTGTTTCAGCAGTTGTTATCAGAGCAGGTGTTGTTGTTGATGCAGTTGTTGCTGCAGTTGTCAGTGTAGGTGTCGTTGACGCAGCAAGTGTTGTTGTCACAGTGGGTGTTGTTGTTGCTGCAGATTTTGTCAGAGCAGGTGTTGTTGTTGATGCAGTTATTGCTACACTTGTCAGTGTAGGTGTCATTGACGCAGCAGGTATTGTTATAACAGCGGGTGTCGTTTCTGCAGTCGCTACTGCAGCAGGTGTCGTTGACACAGTTGCTGTTGCTGCAGATGTTGTCATAGCAGGAGTTGTACTTGATATAATTGTTGCAGCAGATGTTGTTGTCGAACCAGTTGCTGGATTTGATGCAATTGTTTCAGCAGTTGTTATCAGAGCAGGTGTTGTTGTTGATGCAGTTGTTGCTGCAGTTGTTGCTGCAGTTGTCAGTGTAGGTGTCGTTGACGCAGCAGGTATTGTTGTAACCGCGGGTGTCGTTTCTGCAGTCGTTACTGCATCAGGTGTCGTTGACACAGTTGCTGCAGATGTTGTCATAGCAGGTGTACTTGATATAGTTGTTGCAGCAGATGTTGTTGTCGAACCAGTTGCTGTACTTGATGCAATTGTTTCAGCAGTTGTTATCAGAGCAGGTGTTGTTGTTGATGCAGTTGTTGCTGCAGTTGTCAGTGTAGGTGTCGTTGACGCAGCAAGTGTTGTTGTCACAGCGGGTGTTGTTGTTGCTGCAGATTTTGTCAGAGCAGGTGTTGTTGTTGATGCAGTTATTGCTACACTTGTCAGTGTAGGTGTCATTGACGCAGCAGGTATTGTTATAACAGCGGGTGTCGTTTCTGCAGTCGCTACTGCAGCAGGTGTCGTTGACACAGTTGCTGTTGCTGCAGATGTTGTCATAGCAGGAGTTGTACTTGATATAATTGTTGCAGCAGATGTTGTTGTCGAACCAGTTGCTGGATTTGATGCAATTGTTTCAGCAGTTGTTATCAGAGCAGGTGTTGTTGTTGATGCAGTTGTTGCTGCAGTTGTTAGAGTGGGTGTCGTTGATGCAGCAGGTGTTGTAAAAGTGGGTGTCGTTACTTCAGTCGTTACTGGAGCAGGTGTTGTTGACGGAGTTGCTGTTACTGCAGATGCAGCAGATATTGTTGTCTGAGCACTTGTTTTTGCTGCAGTTGTGGTCTGAGCAGGTGTTGGTGATGCAGTTGTTGTCAAAGAAGCTGTTGTTAAGGCATTGTTTGTTGCTGCTGTTGCAGCAGATGTTGTTGTCGGAGCAGTTGCTGTATTTGATTCAGTTGTTACAGCAGATGTTGTTGTCGGACCAGTTGTTGTAGTTGATGAAATTGTGGCAGCAGTTGTCAGAGCAGGTGTTGTTGATGCAGTTATTGCTGCATTTGTCAGTGTAGGTGTCGTTGACGCAGCATGTATTGTTGTAAAAGTGGGTGTTATTTCTGCAGTCGTTACTGGAGCAGGTGTCGTTGACGCACTTGCTGTTGCTGCAGATGTTGTCAGAGGAGGTTTTGTTGTTGATGCAGTTATTGCTGCGGCTGTCAGAGTAGGTGTCGTTGATGCAGCAGGTATTGTTATAACAGCGGGTGTCGTTTCTGCAGTCGTTACTGGAGCAGGTGTCGTTGACACAGTTGCTGTTGCTGCAGATGTTGTCATAGCAGGTGTTGTACTTGATATAGTTGTTGCAGCAGATGTTGTTGTCGAACCAGTTGCTGTACTTGATGCAATTGTTTCAGCAGTTGTTATCAGAGCAGGTGTTGTTGTTGATGCAGTTATTGCTACACTTGTCAGTGTAGGTGTCGTTGACGCAGCAGGTATTGTAGTAACAACGGGTGTCGTTTCTGCAGTCGTTACTGGAGCAGGTGTCGTTGACACAGTTGCTGTTGCTGCAGATGTTGTCATAGCAGGTGTTGTACTTGATATAGTTGTTGCAGCAGATGTTGTTGTCGAAGCAGTTGCTGTACTTGATGCAATTGTTTCAGCAGTTGTTATCAGAGCAGGTGTTGTTGTTGATGCACTTATTGCTACACTTGTCAGTGTAGGTGTCGTTGACGCAGCAGGTATTGTTGTAACCGCGGGTGTCGTTTCTGCAGTCGTTACTGCATCAGGTGTCGTTGACACAGTTGCTGCAGATGTTGTCATAGCAGGTGTACTTGATATAGTTGTTGCAGCAGATGTTGTTGTCGAACCAGTTGCTCGACTTGATGCAATTGTTTCAGCAGTTGTTATCAGAGCAGGTGTTGTTGTTGATGCAGTTGTTGCTGCAGTTGTCAGTGTAGGTGTCGTTGACGCAGCAAGTGTTGTTGTCACAGTGGGTGTTGTTGTTGCTGCAGATTTTGTCAGAGCAGGTGTTGTTGTTGATGCAGTTATTGCTACACTTGTCAGTGTAGGTGTCATTGACGCAGCAGGTATTGTTATAACAGCGGGTGTCGTTTCTGCAGTCGCTACTGCAGCAGGTGTCGTTGACACAGTTGCTGTTGCTGCAGATGTTGTCATAGCAGGAGTTGTACTTGATATAATTGTTGCAGCAGATGTTGTTGTCGAACCAGTTGCTGGATTTGATGCAATTGTTTCAGCAGTTGTTATCAGAGCAGGTGTTGTTGTTGATGCAGTTGTTGCTGCAGTTGTTAGAGTGGGTGTCGTTGATGCAGCAGGTGTTGTAAAAGTGGGTGTCGTTACTTCAGTCGTTACTGGAGCAGGTGTTGTTGACGGAGTTGCTGTTACTGCAGATGCAGCAGATATTGTTGTCTGAGCACTTGTTTTTGCTGCAGTTGTGGTCTGAGCAGGTGTTGGTGATGCAGTTGTTGTCAAAGAAGCTGTTGTTAAGGCATTGTTTGTTGCTGCTGTTGCAGCAGATGTTGTTGTCGGAGCAGTTGCTGTATTTGATTCAGTTGTTACAGCAGATGTTGTGTTCGGACCAGTTGTTGTAGTTGATGAAATTGTGGCAGCAGTTGTCAGAGCAGGTGTTGTTGATGCAGTTATTGCTGCATTTGTCAGTGTAGGTGTCGTTGACGCAGCATGTATTGTTGTAAAAGTGGGTGTTATTTCTGCAGTCGTTACTGGAGCAGGTGTCGTTGACGCACTTGCTGTTGCTGCAGATGTTGTCAGAGGAGGTTTTGTTGTTGATGCAGTTATTGCTGCGGCTGTCAGAGTAGGTGTCGTTGATGCAGCAGGTATTGTTATAACAGCGGGTGTCGTTTCTGCAGTCGTTACTGGAGCAGGTGTCGTTGACACAGTTGCTGTTGCTGCAGATGTTGTCATAGCAGGTGTTGTACTTGATATAGTTGTTGCAGCAGATGTTGTTGTCGAACCAGTTGCTGTACTTGATGCAATTGTTTCAGCAGTTGTTATCAGAGCAGGTGTTGTTGTTGATGCAGTTGATGTTGTCATAGCACGTGTTGTCTGACCAGGTGTTGTGGCCAGAGCAAGTGTTGTTGTTTCTGCAGTCGTTACTGGAGCAGGTGTCGTTGACGTAGTTGTTGTTA